CAACAAAACCCACTTTTGTACAGCAAGAGAAACCACCAACAGAGTGAAGAAATAACCCACAACATGGGAGAAAAATATCTGCCAGCTGTATGTCAAAGGATACTTATCAAGAACATTTAAAAAAGAGCATATTAAAAAACTCAAAAAGATCAGTCCTTCCAGATTTAAAGATTCAATCCAAAAATGGGCATCTGAGATGAATACAGAATTCTTAGATGAAGAAATACAAGCAGCAAATCAATATGTGAAAAATGTTCAACATATTTGTCATCTGAAAGATGCAAATTGCAACACTGAGATTCTACCTCACTTTGAAAGAATGGCTACTCTCAAACAATCAAGCAATAACAAATGCTGGAGGGGCTGGAGGGGTAAAGGAACTCTTCTTCACCTTTGGTGGGAATGCAGACTGTTACAACTGCTGTAGAAATCAGTGTGGAGATTCCTCAAAAAACTAGCACTAGAGATCCCATTCAACCCAGATAATCCCCTTCTGGGTGTCTTCCCAAAAGAATTAAAAACATCATACCACAGCGATATATGTGTACCCATGTTTATAGCAGCACAGTTTGTAATAGCCAAATCTTGGAAACAACCTAAATGTTCATCAATTGAAGAATGAATAAAAAAAGATGTGGTATTTTTATACAATGGAGCCACCAAGGAGAATAAACTGGTAAATGGCTGAAATCTGAGACCACACTCACTGAAATAAATAAGACATATATACAAACTTCATACAGTCTCATTAGTATAAGAAGCTGAAAGAAACATGTATATTAAAAATAGTTAAGATAGTTCTACTACTGATTTCTCTGAGTTCACTGAAGAGCAAGATTTGTGTTGGCATTGTTTTTACAATTGAATGCAGATGTCTTATGGTGTGAGTGAAAGATTTGGGGATGTCAATGTACAATGAATGTACCATTGTTGCCCCGATTGATGTATTTTGAAGTTTTATTATTAGGTCTTTTTCTTCTTCCTCCTCCTCCTCCTCCTCTTCTTCTGCCTCTATTTCTTTTTTGTTCTTGAAATAAAATGGATTTAGAAAACAGTGGGGTTAAGTGGTATTCTTTCCTTTTAAAAATATTTCTAGAGCTGCTTTTAAAAAGTTTTACATAATAAATAAAAATGGTCCTCTGGATTTTATTATGAGACACGAATTAGACTTGGCTTTTTCCTCTCCCGCATCATCAGAGATTGTACTCTCCTGGGTTTTGTTTTTTCTATTTCTACAGGTAAATCTACAGTTTCTTGGTAAGCCATGTCAGCATTTTCCCTTTGTGCCCCCTTCCTTTCTTGTTTTTTGGTTGGTTTGGCGGGGGGGGGGGGGGGGTTAGGTACCAGAGATCAAACTGAAGACCTTGTCCTTGCCAGGCAGGCGCTGTGCCACTGAACTATAACCCCAGCCTCTTCAGGTGTTTTTTGTTTTTGTTTTCAGACGGCCTCATTATGTAGCCTGGCTGGCCTTGAGCTAACAGCAGTTCTCCTGCATCAGCCTCTCAAATCCTGGGATTATAGGCATGTAACACCACACCTATTACCTTTTCCTCTTTTGTTTGTACTTTTCTGCCCTAATATTTATCCTTTCCTGCTACATTTTTTGCCAAGTTTTCACTTTGCCAGATCAGGCTTAGCCAACAACCTGCCATTTGCCTCTGGCCCTGAGCAGACCTCCCTCTTGGGCATCTTTGGCAGCACAGTGGCTACATGCGGGTGCGGTGGGCCTGTTAGTTTATAGTCGATGCCCGCTGAGCGCCCTGTGCTTTGGCAGAGCTGTGGGAAGGTGATTCTTATGAAGCTTGCTGCTCACAGCAGAAGGTGGGGTCTGGTCAGAAGCAGCTGGTCCAGGGGAGGAGTTTATCTCCCTCCCCACTCCTCCTCTCTGCTGCGCCCAGAGCAGCCTCCTCCACCAGACCTCCCAGCCTTGGAGCTGCTGACTAGAGAACCCAAGGTGAGCCAAAATAAATCTCTCCTCCTTTAAGTTGTGGGTGTCACTGTGTTTCAGTGACAAAGAAAGTGACTAAGACGGGGTCATGGCATGTGGGGGCCTTCTGAGCTTCTCTGATGTCTTCCCACTTCCCACCCCAGGTGCTTGGGTTCCAGGCTCATTTTTTTTTTATTTTTGTTATTTTTTGGGGGGGATTATGGATTGAACCCAGGGCCTTCACACTGAACTAGATCCCTGGAACCCACCGTACCCTTTTTTTGAGATGGTCTCATGAAGTAAATTGCTCAGGCTGGATCCTCCTGCCTCAATTCTTCGGAATTCTGGAATTCTATTCATTCACCACCTCACCCACCTTAGGCCCTTAGTTGTTCTGTGTTTTAAGAGTCCCATTACATAGCCCAGACTTGCCTTGGCCTCCCATGTGTGGGGATCAAAAGCCTGTGCTGTCATATCTAGAATACCTGTGGGTTTGGGCTTTTTTACTTTTTTTTGACCAGGGATTGAATTTACGACCTCATGCTTGCCAAGCAGGCATTTAAATCGCTTAACTAATTTCCCAGCCCCTAAAACCGTGGCTTTAAACAACTTATAGTCGTCTGTGGCTCTCAGTGTTAAAATAGGCAGCATTCTAGCTGGGCATGCACTTGGGAGGCTGAGGCAGGAGGTTCACTAGGAGTTCAGTGTCAGCCTAGGCTACATAGTGAGTCCAAAGCCAGACTGAACTATACAGGGAGAAGTTGTCTCAAAAAAAAATAAATAAATAAAATAACAGTAAGAAAGAAAAAAAGAAAAAAAAAGAAAAAGGCAGCATTGTAGATAGTTAACCTCCATTCAACCAAGGGATATGTTTAACATGTCTGCTCAGGGCAGAATTCCTCCACTTCCACCATGCGCGTGCACGTGCATGTCCATGCACACACACACGCATGTGCGTGCGCACACACACACATATACGCACACACGCGTGCGTGCACACACACACACACATGCACACGCCCTCTGCTTCTACTGTACTTCCTGCTAAATGGAACTAGTGTCCACCTAGTACCTAGGCATTCAAAACTAATGTCTGCCTTTTCTCAAGGCTGACTTCTTCAGTTTTTTTTTCTTTATTTTTGGTTGGTTTTTGATTTTTGTTGTTTTGGTACCAGGGATCAAACTCATGACCTCATGCTTGCCAGGAAGGCACTTGTGCTGCTGAGCTAAATCCCCAGCCTGGATTTTGATGTTTTAGACAAGATCTCGCAGATTGGTTTTGAACTCATGAGCTCACTGCCTTAGCACCTGGGTTTACAGGAGTGTGATCTCTAGGTTTCAGCAAATATCACCTCTTCAGAACTTCTCTGACCACCTGACATGTATTTCCCTTAGGGGTCACAGTTTGTAATCCTGTAATAATTTGGCCTCTATACTGACTTCATACACACACACACAAGGATGGACATAAGCCTCTCAACAGTTTGGTTTACTTCTCTGGTCCTGAGCAAGGTGTGAGGCAAACACCTGGGCTCAGTGGCTGTCTGCTAATGTCCAGTGACCATCAAGCACTTCATAAGGACTCACACTTCACACGCAGGTTGGGTCCTCAGTTCAGCATGTGAAGTGACAGTGAGAATGACATGTCATTGAAACTTGGTAGGGAGGGCCAAGTTGGAAACTGACAGTCTAGCTCACTTTCCTACAAGAAGGAACACTGATCACTGTTTGTAAAGCTACACATCAGATAAAGCATAAGGAAAATATAGGAAACTCAAAACTCAGTGTAGTCAAGAGAGGCCCAGAGGGGCCACAGTCACTGAAGGGAAGGACAGCATTCTCTCCCCACCCTCGCTCCCTTCTCAAGGTGCACATGAGTGAAGGGCTATGTTAGTGTACAGATACGGGCCCTGAGCCACCCACCCAGCACATGCAGGCTCAGGGTTAGGGTGCTCAGGCTCACACTGGCCAGCACAAGGCAAGAAGACACCTCCCTGGGAACTTTATTCATCTCCCAAGCCCTGGTCTGGAGGGGCGCAGTCATGGCTCCTCTCCTGGGTTATAGACTCTGCACCACCAGGACTGTTCTCTGAGTCGTCTTTGGGTCTGGAAATCGGCTGAAATTTGAGGAGGACAGGCGGGGTGAAAATGGATGCTTTCACAGCACATGCTGGGGTCTTGTCGGAGCCAGGAGAGCCACTACAGGCAGAGGTCCTGCACAGGAAACATCCAACACACACCCATGAGGCAGGACATGAGCATTAGGGTCACCAAAGCTACATGGGGCAAAATCCTCGGATGGAGGAGGACTCTGAATACATTTCTCCATGAGTGTGGTCAAGGCTGTCCATTGCAGCACTGTTCATGACCCAGTCTAAATGGCCATGAGAAGACAGTCAAGGGACCATGCTGCAGCCACACTTTGGACTATTCTGCTGCTATTTAAATGAATAAGGGAAATACCCCCAACAAGTAAGGACATCACAATGGCTTTTAATGGGGGGAAAAAACCCAACCTGCTAAGTACATGTCATGTGCACCTGCTTGGATTCAGAGTTAACTAGTTATTGGGTTATCTGTAATCCCAGGACTCAAGAGACTGAGGCAGGAGGATCACAAGTTTGAGATTAGACTGTATTACATAGCAAAACCAATTTTTAAAAAATTAGTGTATTTTTATGTTGGCAAAATCCTATCTCAAAAGATATATTATCTAATGTAATCTTTGTGTGTGGGGGGGTGTAACACAAAATATTTGGAAGAGTACATAAAAATCTCTTAGCAGCAGGGCTCTCTTTTATTCCATCTATTATATACTGGGAACTTTTCCCCATGGAAAATGTTTTTTTCTTCAGTGCTTGGGATTGAACTCAGGGCTGAGTGTGCTGGGTGAGCACTGTACCTTTGAGGTACCCCGTTAGCCCTGGAACCAATGAAAAGCAACATGTTTTTGGTGACAGCATCAGCGAGAGGACAACTCATTTACTCTTGCTTTACACAATGTACCAAGAGTCTAAGAATTACCCTGGGCATTGCAGTATTTCAATAGACAAGAACAGCTGGGAAAATGATGTTCCATCTATGTATTTTGCATTTATTCTTATTGGTGATCATGAAGATATTTTTAGTGACAAGGGTGGAAACTCACAAGCTAGAATTGCTTAAAAAACTAACAGGACACTCTCAAACTCAGTTATATAACAGACTATAACATGTGCACAGACACAGTTATCCACAGAGAGAAGCCTACATGGAGACAGAAATATTCAAACAGTAGCTATTTCTGGAGATAAAAATAGGCAAGATCTGGTGAGTTTTTCTGCGTAGATTTCACTTTGGCTACAGTAAACTTACTGGTTCAGTACCCAGCACTGCAAAAAGAAAAGGCTCCACTTAGACAGAGCTAGAAAAAATAATTATCACCTCAGTCTTGCTCTGTAGCTGCCTACTTTGTTCTGTGTGGACTAAATGATGTTATGCTTTACTCTGAAACTTTGCTTTGTGACCACACTGCAAAAAGTGCTTCTCTTGGGGCTGGGGATTTAGCTCAGCGGCATAAGCGCCTGCCTTGCAAGCAGGCAGTCGTGAGTTTGATCCCCAGTACCGATAAAAAAGAAAAAGAAAAAGGCAAAAAGTGCTTCTCTGTCACCCAAAGATCAGTCACCTTCTACCCTTCCATGTCTCCTTCTTCTGACCTCACAGTCTGTTTCCACTTGGATGTAATTCATAAATTACATGATCATGTTTAATTATACTTTTTGTGTGAGGTAGTGGGATTAAATCCAGGGCCTTAGGGGCTGGGGATTTAGCTCAGCAGCATAAGTACCTGCCTCGCAAGCAGGCAGTCATGAGTTTGATCCCCGGTACCGATAAAAATGAAAAAAAGACAAAAATAAATAAGTAAATCCAGGGCCTTCCATCGAGCAGCGTCCCCAGTGCTTTTTTTTTTTTCTGGTACTGGGGATTGAACTCATGACCTTGCATTTGCCAGGCAGGCATTTGTGCCACTAAGTCCCCAGCCCCTTATTTTTATCTTGCTAAGTCACTAAGTTACCTAGGCTGGACTTCAACTTGTGATCCTCCTGCCTTAGCCTCCCAGAGTGCTGAGACTACAAGCATGTGTCACCACATGTGGCTTCATATTTATAATTTTAAATGACATGTACCAGATGTGGTGATGCAGATATGTAACCCCAGCACTGGGGAGACTGAGGCAGGATGAATTGTTGTGCGTTTGAGGCCAGCTTGGGCTACACAGTGAGTTCAAGGTCAGCCTGAACTACATAGTAAGACCTTGTCTCAGTCTTCCCAATATATGATTTTCTATAATTATGTGAGTGCACATTTGTTTTTAGATTTCCCCTTTTTAACTGATGTGGCCATGAGTATTTCTATACAAATAGCTTTTTTTCTTTTCTTTATAATTTCCTAGGGGAAGTTTTCAGTGTTTGTTTTTGTTTTTGTTTTGTTTTTGGTGCCAGGGATTGAACTCACAATCATGCACTTGCCAGGCAGGCGCTTATGCCCCTGAGCTAAATCCACGGTCCTCAGTTTTCAGGATCTTTAAAAGAATTTTTTGACATGCCCAGCCAGATTGTAAACATTGGATCAAAGAATTTAAGAATGAGTATCTGTAGCTCCTGGGCATACTAAGCGCACATGGTACTATGGACTATACCCCTAGCCTCCAATTTCAGTATACAATTTAGAGATTTGTTTTCAGCTTGTCCACGTATTGTAGTATGTGTTAATACCTAATTCCTTTTTACATTTGGCAATGTGGAGCTGGGTGGGGTGGCTCACGCCTGTAATCCCAGCACTCGGGAGCCTGAGGTGGGAGGATCATTGTGAGTTTGAGACCAGCCTGGGCTACAAAGTGAGCTCAAGGCCAGCCTGAACTGCATAGCGAGACCCTGTCTCAAAAAGACAAAAAAAAAAAAAAAATTTTTTTTTTTTTTTGGCAATGTACCATTATCCAGATAGATACATTTCTTTTATTCACCTTTCACACGTGTGCTGTTTTGCCTTTTGGATATTGTGAATGGTGGCACATGAACATTCATGTACAAGTATCTGTTTGAATTCCTATTTTCTATTCTTTGGGGTACTTACATAGGAGTGGAATTGCTGGATCCTAAGGGAACTCTGTGATCACCATTTTGATGAACTGCCAAACTGATTTTCTCAGTGGCCACTCCATTATACCTTACCATAAGTCATACACAGGCTTCAGTTTCTCTACATCCTCATCAACGGCTGTCATCTCTCTTTTTTTGGGATCCTGGAGATTGAACCCAGCATCCCTACACTAGGTCAACTTGCACTCCTCTTGCCTCAGCCCCGCAGCGTGCTGGGATTATAGGTATGTATCACACCTGGAAGATGACTGGTTTTTTTTTGAAGATGACTTTTTATAAGAGCCATCCTAATTTATGTGCTATTACATCATTATTGTTTTGATTTGCAATTTTCCCAATGACTAATAAAATTGAGCACCTTTTCCTGTTTACTGGCCATTTATTTGTACATCTTCTTTGGAGAAACACCTAATCAAATCCTCTGCATCCTCCCACTTTTTTTTTTTGGTGGTTACTGGGGATCAAACTTATGATCTTGCACTTGCCAGGCAGGTGCTTATGTCACTGAGCTAAATCCCCGGCCCTGCATTTCCCCTCTTTGAGAGAGGATCTTAAGTGTGTAATTCAGACCAGCTTTGAACTTACTATGTAGCCCAAGCTGGCCTCAAACTTTCAGCAGTCTTTCTGCCTCAACCTCCCTGATGCTGGGATAATAGGTATGCACCACACGAAGTATGTGCTCACTTTTTAATCAGGTTGCTTTTCATTTTTGATGTAATATGCAAATATTTCCTCCATTGTCTTTTTTATGGTTTTTTGTTTGTTTGTTTGTTTGTTTGTCTTTGTCTTTTTGAGTCAAGGTCTTGCTATGCAGTTTAGCCTGGCCTTGGGCTCACTTTGTACCCCAGGCTGGTCTCAACCTTGTAATGATCCTCCTCCTGCCTCAGCTTCCTGAGTGCTGGGATTATAGGAGTGCGCCACCACTCCCAGCTGTTTTTGAGATAGCATTTTGCTATATTGTACAGCATGGCTCTAAATTCCTGGATTCAAATGATTCTCCCATCTCAGCCTCCCAAGTAGCTACAGGTGCCAGTGCTTGGTACTGGAAGTGAAACTCAGGGCCTCATTTGTGCTATGCAGGTACTTTAGCCCCAGTGTGCTCTTCCTTTTGAGGTGGTCAAAATGCTCTAAAACACCAAGACTGAGACATAGCTAGTAGTAGAACACTTGCCCAGCGTGCTACAGGCCATTGTTTTAATCTCCAGCTTGGGCTGATGGCAAGGACTAAGCCAATCTGGTAGTACTGTATTTCTGTAGCCAAAAACATCAGTCTGGCAAATGTGACCCTCCCAGCACAGCTTTCTACATAGCTAAGAGTAGCTGAGATTATTACTTTGCCCTCATATTTTGGGGTTCTTGATAGCTATTTATTGCTTATCTTAGCAATCTCAGCATATACATCTTTAATTCTTTAGGGGATGGATGTCATTGTTGTCTACACCCACAGAATGGGTAATGCCAAGAGTAGACCCTCATGTAGACTAGGAGCTGCCCCTCGGTTGGTGGCATCATTTCCTTTCAGTTGGCCCTCTGCATAGTTAGTGACCAATTTCTCATCATTACACTAAGAAAGGACATTATTTTTTTCACCCCTCATTATACTTACGGTCATTCTTGGAGGTGAAATGGACATCATACTGAAAAACCTTTTTGGTCTTGTGCATACTCCCATTAGGCACAGGTACACTACAGGGGCACCCTCGAGTTGGACAGTCACAATGGTGCTGGGCCTGGAGATGTAGAGGACTGCTTACCAGGGGAAGCCGGGACAATGGAGCTTGTGTGGACTGTTTCTAGCCAAGTATGAGAAATGGAAGCCTCCGGGATTGAGGACCAAGGGAGTCAGATCAACCATGTGGCTGCAAGACAGGGCAGAGTTGGGATGTCAGTCCTGGGTCCCTCCAGTCAGAGAATGCAGATCTGTGACAGAGGCCCAGCAACTCCTACATACAGAGCCCACCTCCTCCCCTGGGTAAATGAGACAGCAACCACTAAAAAGCGTAGCAAGAACTAAGAGATGAGGACAAAAAGCAACCAAGTCTCGTTCCAGGTTGCCCCCCAAATGTTCCTTTTCCATTTCCCTAGAGTCCAGAGGGACTTCCACCTCTTTGGGTTTGATGACAGACCACTCCAGTTTAATTGCACTTCAGACCCTGAGATGTCCAATTTCTCCATCTGCAGGAAACAAAAGAAAGTTCAGGACAAGTGTGGGGACTCTCCTTGCAGAACAATCCTTATATGAGACAATGTTACTCCCTTTCATTCAGCAGATATATCAATACTCTTTTGATTGTGGTATTTCAGGGGTACAGGGGGTAGGTTAGGGGCTAGAAGCTGACTAAGGAGGTTCAGTCCAGCTTAGGGGATGGAGAGGTGCCTGGAAGATGAGATGGAGATGCACAGGATAAACAGGCACCTGGAAGGGCAGGCACAGCAGGCACTGGGACAGGTGGGATGACACCCACAGGGAGAGGTAGAAGTGTGGCTCAAGACATGGGGGAGGCCCACAGTCTTTTCTGTCCTTCAAAGTGCCAGGATCCTGTCCAGTGTACCTAGTGCTTCCTTGCATACCCAAGGCCAAGAAGATCGAGCTTGGTACCCTCGACCCCTACCATGACCCTTAAACCAGGGCAGCCCCCTTTTATCTGCCTTATCCACTGCTGTTCCACCTAACATCTTGTCTGCAAAGAGGCATCTATGGAGGTCGGAGAGCCAGGGCCACAGGCCCAGCAGGCATCTGAGCAGGGGGACCAAGCTACCCTCCCAGGACTGCCTGGGTTAGACGACATTCCCACTGACCGGCTTGCTAGGGAGTGAAGGGAAGGGGCCAAAGACCCTGGGCATAGTGTAGACTGGGGGTGATGGGGCCACCACAGAGGTCATGGTGGTGACAGGTGGTAGCAGTGATGGAGGTGGCAGGGTTGCCGGGAGGCATGGAGAGGTTGACCGGTCCTGTAGGAGGATGAGTTCTGATTTCTTCGGGTTGGACTTCTTTTTTCTTCTGTTCTTGGTATCTGTGATAAAAAAAAAAAAAAAAGTGCAACAAGTGTTTCCTTGTGCCACAGCAGGGCAGAATAGGGGTGGACACAATGCTGTGGGATCTTCAAAACATCCCTTCAGTAAGGAATGGAGGGACACATATCATAAGAGACAAAACCTTAGACCACCACAGATAGGCAGCAGTGTGCATCATCTTACCAACTTCCAGCCCCCTAGACAAAGAGGACATTTTTTTTCTTTTTGTTTGGGGGTCTTTTTGAGACAGGGTCTCACATTGCAGTTGAGGCTGGCCTTGAGCTCCCTTTGTAGCCCAGGCTGGTCTTGAATTCACACTGATCCTCCTGCCTCAGCTCCAGAGTGCTGGGAATTACAGGTGTGCATCACCATGCCTCGCCTGAAGAGGACTTTTGTGTCTATTTTACAGGTGGAACCAGAGCTTCTATCTGTATAGGCAGACAAGATCTAGCCTGGGCAGTCTGACCTCAAAGGCAGAAATCCACAGGATGTGACGGTGTTGGGCTGCTGCCCACCTCCAGCATTGTAGGGAGCTGAATCTGCCAAGAGCAATGAAGGCCCCAGGGAACACCTAGGGCTGCCTGTACCCAGCCCCATGGCCATTCTGGGGACATGGAAAAGGCACTTCCTCTATGAGGAAACCCAAAGTGAGAAAGGCTTGCAGAAATGGGCTGAGGGAGAGCATCTTCTCTTTTTAAAAAAAAATTTTTTTTTTTTTGTCTTTTTCCTTTTTATCGGTACCAGGGATCGAACTCACAACTGCCTGCTTGCAAGGCAGGCGCTTATGCCGCTGAGCTAAATCCCTAGCCCCCTAGCATCTTCTCTTTTAGGTTTTCTACTTCATTTGATGAATCTGTCCAAAGTTAGAGACAGCTAGAATTAGTGTAACTTTATACAGCCAATCAGAATGGCTCACCTAGAATGATAACAACAACTACTCAGTACTGGCCTAGAGCCTAAGAGCCTGTGCTACAGATCAACCTAGAACCAAGCCTACATCCAGGATAGTTACAACGTGACCCTGCACATGTCAGCAAGCAACTCCTCTTCTGTAAAAGAGGTTTTAAAAAAAGTGAAGCTATCATGAGGAATGTGTTCCTGACCCACCCATCAGATGAACAGGTGACACGGGGGACTCGTAGTAACATGGAAAGTGTGGACCCCCACCCCACCCCCAGGAACCTGGGCCTCCTAAATGCCCCCCGCCCCAAGGTAGTGTATCACTGAACACAAACACACCAAAGGAACTGAGCCTGCCTGAATCCAGCCAGGGCCTCAGAACAACTAGCCAAGAAGTACAGGAAGACTCAGCAACAGGTGTAAATGCACGGGTGGGACACCCAGAGCATGACATGGTTCAAGCCAATGGCACGGGAGAAAAAATGACATGAGATCATCCTACCTCAAAGGAGGCTTTAACAGAAGTGGCCACAGGCCTATGCCTGCCATCCTAGAGTGATCACAAATGTCCCAATTTGGACACAAATTATATATATGTTCACCTTAGTGAAAAAAGGAACTTAAGAGAAGCCAGACACAGTGGGACATGCCTGTAATGGCAGTCCTCTAGGAGGCGGAGGCAAAAAGATCACAAATTTGACCTCTGCCTGGGCAACTTTGTGACTTAGCAAGACCCTGTGTGTCAAATTAAAAGAAGAAAAAAAAAGTTGAGCTGGGGATGTAGCTCAGGGAAAGAGCTCTGAGTTCAACCCACCAGTGCCAAAAAGCAACCAAACAAACAAAAAACACTTAAGAGGCCTACTGCTCAAAAACAACATGTGGGCCTCACTGGATCCTGAAATAACAAAATACAGAAAGATTTTAGTAGACCATCAAAATGTAATATAGGCTAAACATGTCACTAGCACGAGGACATGGTGTGTTATGTTCAGTGTAACATGGTGGTTACATCAGAAAATATCTTTCTTTGGTGATTCGGGGTACTGAAGCCAGTCTCATCCAAGCTACCCAAGCACTCAGCACCGAGACCTTTTGACTTAGAGACAGCGTCTTACTAATATCAGGCTGGCCTCAAATTTGTCATCTACCTACCTTAGCCTCCTAAACCTCTGAGATTACAGGTGTTTGTTTCTTTGCTTTTGTTTTTTGAGACAGGGTCTCCCTATGTAGTTCAGACTGGTCTTGAACTCAAGATCAGTTCCTGCTTCAGCCTCCTGAGTGCTGGGATTACAGGCATACATCACTACACCGGCTTGAAAATGTCTTTCTTCAACAACAAATGCTGGAGAGGCTGTGGGGAAAAAGGAACTCTTCTGCACTGTTGGTGGGAGTGTAGACTGGTACAACCTTTGTGTAGGTCAGTCTGGAGATTTCTCAAAAAGCTGGGATTGGAAGTCCCATTTGTTCTAGCTATTCTACTTCTAGGCATATTCCCAGAAGAACTGAAAGCATCATACCATAGTGATATATGCACACCTATGTTTATAGCAGCACAATTTGTAATCTCCAGATCTTGGAAACAACCCAAGTGTCCATCAACTGAGGAATGGTTAAAAAAGTTATGGTATTTCTATACAGTTGAGTACTACTCAGCTATAAAGAAGGATCACATTGAGATATGTATCAATAAATGGGTGCAGTTTGAGACCATACTCACATAAGTGAAATAAGTCAAACTCACACGTGTGAATACCGAATAGTTTCCCTAGTGTAAGAAATGATTCAAATATATAAAAGTAGGTGGTAATCATGATTCCCCATTATGTGGTCTTGGAGCCTTATAAAGTTTTCACTCATTAATTGGAATGGCTTTATTCTGGGCGGCTTGGTATTATCGTCCATGATGAAATGAACAGCTATTTTGAAGAAAACAAGACATCATAAAAGCTAGTGCTGATTTAATACCATCTTGTTTTGAAACCCCACCAAACTATGGCTCTTCTGTCTCCATTGGTTTTATCATGTTTTATCTTGCTGACTTTTATTATATGTGATAGTATAAACAAAAATTGTTATAGGCAAAGAGATAATATAGAAACCATTGTTCGTTTTCTGTTAGCTGGTTCTAAATACCCTACAATGCTTTCATCCACTTGAATGGTTTTACACTGTCTTGATATGTTTGATGCTATAGTATACGAAGTTATATTCAAATATTTCAAGGAAAAAGACACTATGGTAACTACTATTAAGTCGGGTTATTTGGTGGTGAAGCACTAGGTTGCTGAAACTCATGCTTTGACCTGTATTGTTATGCTGTTATGTCCTCTTTTATCTCAATCTCTCCTTTATTCATTAAAAAAATTATTTAGTTATTTTTTTAATTAAGGGGAAAAAATAAAAAAAATTAGCAGGCTATATTATAGTAACTTTTTTGATTTCCTATTAACTTGATTTGAAGTCCTGTAATACTCCCCCTATCTTGTTTCGACTGATTAGACTCTGTTCCCGTTCTGTATGATAGTATGAAGTTTGAGGGTATAGGCAACTACTTTGAAGGCAATAAGATTCACTATGATGCCCATTCTGGTTTGACTATTATCTTCTTTTGAAGTCCTGTAATGTTTACAATGTTTAGGTTTTATTGGTCTTGTTCTCTATTGTTTTGTTCAACTTTATAATACCTAATGAGATAGACAATTCTTTTTAAGGAAGCAAAAGGCATTATGGTAACCATTGTTGATAACCTTGTACTCTGTTTTTACATCATGTGCTATGTCTATCCTTGGTTTTGACTGACAGCTTTGTTTTATCATATTTGATTTTATTCTCTTCCAAAAAAAAAAAGTAATAAGAACTATGGGAGTAATAAAACCCAAAATGTGTAAATTTTGTTGTAAAAAAGAGAGGGAAAAAAAAGTGCTCCAAAGGATACAACTGGAAGTGTGTTTAGGTGTGTTAAATAGCTGACCATATTAATGTTTTTGATTAGATCACTGAACACAACTGTTTGCAGTCTCACTGTTTGAATGTCCACTTTGTATGCTTTGATCCTGTGACTTGAGCAACTATCTCTAAGATGATATTGTGTAATCTATTAACTGGTGATTTCTTACTTTTTTTTTTTTTGTAGTTCTGTATTACTTGTACTCTTACACTGTTTTGTTTTTTTTCTTTTTCCTTTTTTTTTTTTTTTTTTTTTGTCTTTTTCCTTTTTATCGGTACCGGGGATTGATCTCACGACTGCCTGCTTCCAAGGCAGGTGCTTATGCCGCTGAGCTAAACCTCCAGCCCCTTTCTTTTTCCTTTTAAATTTTTTTAAAAATGTCTTTCTTTAAAATTAAAATGCACGTGGCCATGGATTGTAGCTTAGTACTAGAGCATGTGCTTAGCACAAGTAAGGCCCTGGATTCAATTCCCAGCACAAAAACAGAAAGAAACAAAACAGTGCGAGGCCCCTCGTGGGCTGAGATTGAGCCTCACCCCGGGCATACAGGTGCACGCGGTGGATACTCCTCTTCAGCCGTTCTAGGCGCTGGCGCATCTCCTGCAGGCCCATGCTGTTGCACAGGTTCAGGTGCCCCTGGAAAGTGCAAAGAATCTTCGCCTGCAACAACAACGGGAGAGGCGGGGTAGCAGAAAACTCGCAGAGAAGAGTCACGCGGTGGAGGGGTGAGGAGGCTGGGGTAGTGTCACTTGCGCGCTTCACTCCCCAGATGCAACGGTCTCAGGCTTCTGCAAGACCCCATCTGCGGCCCAAGAAAAGCCCGAGGATGGCGTCCCCACCCGGCTCGCACCCAGAGGAAGGAGAAGAGCCCGCGCTGCTCGCACTCAGCCTGCTTTCTCTGCCGCAGCACCCTCTCTGCCAGCCACGGAGAGCGGTCCAGAGTGCGGAAGAGGCGGCGCAGCGCGCGCTCAGTGTAGGTCGCCGCCTGCCTCTCGAAGTCCTCCACGGAGATGAGCTGGCAGAAGGTCACGTTCTGGGGGAACTCGCTGTCGAACTCCTCTAGGACCTCCATCCGAGTGGCGCTGCAAGTAGCGGAGCCGCCGTCGGGGCAAGCATCCCGAGGGCCGGGGCTTGGCGACCCCCACCCATCCGTAGGCAACGGATGAGGGTCCATCCTGAGGGCCAGGGATGCAGTGACGGGAGGTGGCGGGTCCCGTCCGGGGGGGCGGCTACAGAGACCCTCTCCGCCGTGGCCTCGGAGCCAACGAAAATCCCCTGGATGTAAAGCCACCACCGCCCCCTTCCGGGCCGCCAGCCAATGCGACCCGGCAGAGGGGCGGGACCAACCCCTGCGGCAAACACACGTGACAATACCCGCCGCTCTGGGCATGCGCTGAAGTCTTCGAAGGGACGCACGCCGCTGTTCTGTGTGTGATCTCATGGGAGGGATAAGGATAGGGGTCATTTCATTTTCACCGAACCCTTGGTCATCGCCAGACCCATCTTCCAACTTTTTTAAAGCCCTGCCCCTGGCTAAACTTCCAATCCTCTCCCCATCCCCAAGGTTTCCCTACTTCAAAGACTGGCCCTCTACCTCTGCAGTCTGCAGCGTCCCAGGACCAGCGCTTCCCTCAGTCACAATACCCACAAAGAGTTCACTGGACCCTTGACTCCTCAGGCTTTCCAGCCTTAACTCTCCAGCATCATGCACCCCTCCCAGGTCTTGGGGATCCAGTTCCCCCTCCTCTTCGCAGCCACTTTGCTCTGTACTTGATGTTGCCTTTTTTCACTGGTTCCCCCAGTTGCTTCTTGGTGGCCTTTTCCTCTGGCCCCTTGGATGCGTTTCTGAAGGTCCTGACCTTACCACTTCTAGATCTGGGTTAGAAGCAGAATGATTTAAGACGTCTGTCTTTTTCTTGTTTTATTGCTCTTTTGGTACTATGGGTTGTACCTAGGCAAGCATGCACTACTGAGCTACATCCTCACCCCTTTGTTATTTTGAAACAGAGTCGCCAAATTGTTCAGAGTAAACTAGCTGCAGCCACCCAAATAGCTTATGGACTTGCACCACATCTATTGTCTTCTCAGGCTTAGACTTAGCTTGAACTCCAGACCCACGTTTAAATGCACATTAGGAATGACTCTTGGTTATCTCCTATTGAACATATCCAGATTTGTGCACGGCTTTTCTCGGAAATGGGCTTTTCCCCGCTACTTGCTTAGCAGCTGACCCTACTACCTATACTGGTCACTAAAGAGAGTGGGTGTCTTCTATGTCCCCTACACGCTCTCCATCAGCCCTGGAAACCAAGGAGTACATATAAGAACTCTAACCAGATTTTTTGCTTCCTGCAGCCAAACTACCAGGCTTCTAGGCGCTACCTTTCCCCAACAAAGAAGGTGGTAAGCACTTCCTCTATTGACTTATAAAATAAACCTTTAAATACATATGATGTGCCCTTTTTTAAACAAGTCAAGTGCCATCCGAGAGGGCAATTAGACCCCAGATTAACCCCAACATGGTTCACACTTTATACATTTATTCGTGTTTTAAAAAAAATATACTGTTCCCTTCTCTGAGCCATGCTCGACCAAGAGAAATTTAAAAACAAGACAGACAACAAAGATTCCTGCCTTCATAATGGGAACTTCAGTCACTAGGAGAAAATTGTGATGTAACAGGGCCTGGGAGAAGAACTTTGGATGTTAAAGAGTCCAGAAAAGCACCCTGTAGGTGGGCATGTTGGCCTCTCCCCAGCAAGGACATTAGAGAGAGTCTGCAAAGGATTGAAAGGTGGCCAGCTCCAGCCATGGCCACTGGAGCCCAGGGGAATGGAGGGTGAAGCTTAGGAGACTCAGGGATTGAGGAGCCCCAGGGGGCTAGGACTAGGATACAGAAGATCATGTACTTGCTATTCACCATCACCCCAACCCTCCATGGGTGCCAGGGCTTGTACCACAGGATAAGATTGAAGCCAGTGTTCCATTTTCTCAGTCAGGGGTGGACAGTACATCCAAAAGCCCATCTGCACACCTGAGCTTTCTCTCAAGAAGACAGTCTTGAATGACTCACTGGGCACACTGTGTCAGGTCCTGATGGTAAAGATGGTTCTGCAAGCATACCTAGAATTGGGCTCCTTACAAGTTCAGCCCCAGCCCCTCAATTCCAGCTGAAAGGTATGCCAGGCACCTCCCAGTAGTCCCCACAGGTTCAGGACTCATACCTTGTGTCTCTGTAAGAACAAGCTGACCTGGTTGCAGACCTCACCTGCAATTCTGCTCCCACTGAGCCCCACAGTGACTGATACTTGGGTGTAGCACTCCACTTGGGTCAACAATGTCCTCCGAGTTTGGTCCTCTTCAAGCCTTCAGGAAAAACTGAGTCCAAGTATGGGAAGCCCCTCCATGCAAAGCAGTGCACCTCTATTTCTCCAGAAAGTCTTAGAGTCCCTAGTTTTAGCTGGGGTGCCCATGGGGAAAGATCTTCAAATCACCGCCTTTCTGAATCCTGGGCTTCTGCAGTCATGATTGAATGGGCCACTCAGGGAATGATCCCAAGGACCCATCTTATCTTCTGATGGAGGCCCCAATCCAGCTTCCTACCTATGCCTCCAAGCACTTACCCTCTGGGCATCTCAGCTTTCATTGCAAGGAAGTGGAGTAAGGCAGCAAACCCTCTTCCTCCAAGCACTGTGGACAGCGAGAAGGGCCTGACCGATGCCCTTTCATCATTGCACTGCTTCCCAGTAGCCCACAGTAGTGCAACAGGGAAAGAGTGTCGGGCAGGCCTTGCTAGTGCCTCTCAGTGTGGTGATAATGTTGGTTGTGGTGGGTGGGATTGGAGACCTGGAATGCAGCCCCACTGGGGCAGGGCCTCAGTATGGGGGAAGGGTGCCCTCTGACCTCTGAGGCCCAGTCCTGGTTAGAATCTCAAGTTTCCATGGAGAAGGGAGTGAACTGGGGAGGGGGAGAAAATGCAAGCCCAAAGGGATCATCCTGGAAAGAGAGGAAAGAAGGCATTGTGGGTGAGGAACATTCCCAAGGCTGGCCCCAGATGCTTTGACAATATCATTGCACTGCTTCTCAGAGCACAGTAGTGCAACCTCGTCAGAGCTTCTGCAGCCAACAGGAGTAGGGATGAAGGGTGGCCCTTAATACAAGGAGGGTGGGAAGCCCAAAGGGTGGATGAGGGCAGAGCCTCAGTTCACAGGGGGGAAGAGAAGGGAATCCCAGCGAGGCTGCAGTCCTCAGGCGCTTCAGAACCTCAGGGTGCCCAAGCCTTCCGCAGTAAGCTTCAGGTTGTGCAGGAAGAGACTCCAGTCCAGGAGCGAAGTCTGACTGGTCAGACGGGGGAGGGGGCGTGCACACAAAGGAGAGGGCCCGCGCTTAGCGCGATCCAAAGCCCGCTCATGCAAGTAGCGGGAGGAGCACAGCCCGACGACCCCTGCATCTTGACTCGGCCTGCTCCTCAGGGAGAAGAGTGGCCTGATCATCCCAGGACTATGCTCTGGCTCAATATCCCATCCCTGATCTCCGATCTTTAGCATACTCCCCCCACCGCCCTCGTCCTAGCAGATTCTTCTGCTATCGGCCCAGAACCGAGCAGAAGGGGGGGTTCCCGCCCTTCTAGAGTTCCTTGCCCAAAGAGGACCTTGGGTTCTCCCAAGCCCCTCCACGCATACAGTCCGTGGGACTATTTGTCCCCCACCCCAGGCCCAGCTACTCACGAAGACACACCTCCCGGCCAGGGCAAGGGAAGACCCAGGTGAGCCGGAGGTCCCCACCCGGGCACCCAGCACCTCGTGGCGCCCTCCCGGCCGCCGGCTCCATCTTAACCCGCTGACAGTCGGAGGGCAGAGCCCCTGATCCTCAGCATAGCACCACGCTCATTGGCCGGCAAGGGCCGGGTCTTCGCCTTCCGCAAGTCTATTGGCTGCTCCCAAAGCGATTTCAAAATAGCCTCCAGGCTCCGATTGGCCCGGCGCCGCCCGAGTCTCGGGTTCCACGATTTTAACAATGAGTTCTACAAACACTTTCTCCCCATTCATAACTTATCAAAAGGAACTTTGCCCGCCTTTTATTTTAGCTCGTCTCTGCAGGTTTTCTAGCTGTGCCGGCAAGAGAACTTGGAAGCTCAGTAGATGTCCGCCGAACCCTACCCGAGAGGGTGCCGGGACCCCTGGGAAATATCGAAGCCTCTGGCCAAGCCTGTCCATTGAATGGGGTCTCGGGTTCCTTTCTTTGTATTGTGTGCTGGAGTTGCTCTTGGCGCCGACCTCCCACCCCCATGGAATATTCATTCGGGCAAGGAGAAGGGTTGCATCCCTTTCAGTCCAACCTCAGCGCACGGAATGGGTCTCGCCTGTAAACCTCCCAGGGAGGTTTGCTATGGAGACTGGTTACTGAGGCCCCTGTGGCCCCTGTGGCAGGTACCAGAAAGGGGATGCTTGAGTCCTTGCGTGATTGCAATCCATTTTGTGGATGAGCTTTCATTAAGTGCCTGTCTTGGGCAGCGGAACAGGTAATGTGTTTGTGGTCCCACCCTCGCACAGCTCCAATGAGATGTGTGTATTGGGAAACATTTAGGTCACTGAACATCTGTGCCTTCTTCTATTTTATTCTCAAAGCGCTGACAAAAAATGTTTTTAAGGCAGTTTGCTGTGAATCTTTATAAACCTCAATTGTCTTCTCTGAAAAACTGAGAAGATAATGGAAGATACTTCAGAGTTGTTGCCAGGAGCAAATGCGATGCTGTGTAAGCAGTTCATCCAGTGCCTGGTACTTCATATTCAATAAATGAGAAATTTGCTGCTGTTCCGGTTTTTAATTTTAATCTTGTCACACGTTTGCTCTGGCTGCCCATAGGTTCTTCCTTGCTGTGCGCTTGTGATCTGCTCTTCAGCACCCCTCACCTAATTTCCACATGTGCACATGCCAGTGTACGTCCAGACCATACGATTTATAGGATACAGTCAGTCCACTTTAGTGCTCCCCACACCCCGTTGGCACTCACCTCTACAAAAAGAAAGCTCATTGTCAGCACACAGGACTCTGCCTGGATATCTGATTCTGGCTGCTGGAGCCCCTGACCCAACAATACATGCACAGGGTACGTGGAAAGTGCTAATAATTGTGCCTAACTACCCAGCAGCCCTCCACTAATGAGGAAAGATACTTTAGTGGGTAAATACGCTGGTTTCCTTGCCTTTCAGGTGGGATAACTGTTTTTTGAGGCAGATTCCCACAACTTAGTCCAGGCTGGGCTCGAATTCATGGAGATCCTCTTAGTGTCTCTACTTTCAGAGTACTGGAAAAGAGGCATGCACCACCATGTCTGGCCAATGAGATAACTTTGATGAGATTCCCCAATAGAACTGAGCTCTGGCTGCCCTGTCCCATAATGGACCCTTTACTTTCCTTTTCCCCTTCACCACCCCACTGCTCTGTCCCTGAGTTTTCTGGAATCACTTCCCAACAATCTGCTCTTACTCAAATCTTTTTTTTTTGTCTTTTTCATTTTTATCGGTACCAGAGATCGAACTCACGACTGCACACTTGCAAGGCAGGCGCTTATGCCGC